CACTCTGATGGTTGTGAGCTTCACAACAGAGGAAAATATCTCTGTGTAGTCTAGTCTTTCCCGCTGTTGAAACCCCTTCACTACTAATTTGGTCTTGAATCTCTTGCTTCCATCACTCTCTTGCTTGACCCGGTAAACCCATTTGTTATGTAAGGCCTTCTTCTGTGCAGGCAGTTGGGCTAACTCCCATGTCTCATTAGTGAGTAGAGAATCCATCTCCTCCTACATCGCATACTCCCACTGCTGAGATTCACTCACTTGCATTGCCTCTTCATAGCACTCCGGCTCACCTCTATCTATCAACAATAAGTAGTTAAGAGATGAAAGATATCTGGGATTTGGTTTGGGTACCCTGGATGACCTCCTAAGCTCCATGCCCTGGGTAGTTTCTTCTACACCTGGAGCCTCCTCCATTCTCTGATCAGAACAAACATCATCACCCCTATCTGAAAGTTCCTCTATATCCATGTACTCAAATCCATCTGTATGTGAAATACTGCTCCCATTGCTTTGGCTATCCTTGGCATCTTCCCTGTTCTTGCACATCACCTCCTCATTGAATATCACGTCCCTGCTTCTGATGATCTTCATGTTCTTCTTATCCCAAAGGCGATACCCGAACTCATCAATGCCGTATCCAATGAATGTGCACTTCTGTGATTTAGCTTCTAGCTTGTCTTTGACATGGTCACTGATATGAACATAAGTCACGCAACCAAATACCCGTAAGTGTGAGAGATTTATCTTTTTTCCACTCCAAACCTCCTCTGAAATCCTAAAATCTAATGGAACTGATGGCCCATGATTAATAAGGTAAGCTGTCGTATGCACTGCATCTGCCCAAAATGTCTTAGGTAGACCTACATGTAATCGCATGCTCCTGGCACGCTCTGTCAAGGTTCTGTTCATCCTGTCTGTAATGCCGTTCTGCTGCGGCGTCCCTGGAGTAGTCCTCTCTAAGCGACTACCATTCGACTCTGATGGTTGTGAGCTTCACAACAGAGGAAAATATCTCTGTGTAGTCTAGTCTTTCCCGCTGTTGAAACCCCTTCACTACTAATTTGGTCTTGAATCTCTTGCTTCCATCACTCTCCTGCTTGACCCGGTAGACCCATTTATTGTGCAAGGCTTTCTTCTGCGCAGGTAGCTGGGCTAACTCTCATGTCTCATTAGTGAGTAGAGAATCCATCTACTCCTGCATCGCATACTCCCACTGCTGAGATTCACTCACTTGCATTGCCTCTTCATAGCACTCCGGCTCACCTCTATCTATCAACAATAAGTAGTTAAGAGATGAAAGATATCTGGGATTTGGTTTGGGTACCCTGGATGACCTCCTAAGCTCCATGCCCTGGGTAGTTTCTTCTACACCTGGAGCCTCCTCCATTCTCTGATCAGAACAAACATCATCACCCCTATCTGAAAGTTCCTCTATATCCATGTACTCAAATCCATCTGTATGTGAAATACTGCTCCCATTGCTTTGGCTATCCTTGGCATCTTCCCTGTTCTTGCACATCACCTCCTCATTGAATATCACGTCCCTGCTTCTGATGATCTTCATGTTCTTCTTATCCCAAAGGCGATACCCGAACTCATCAATGCCGTATCCAATGAATGTGCACTTCTGTGATTTAGCTTCTAGCTTGTCTTTGACATGGTCACTGATATGAACATAAGTCACGCAACCAAATACCCGTAAGTGTGAGAGATTTATCTTTTTTCCACTCCAAACCTCCTCTGAAATCCTAAAATCTAATGGAACTGATGGCCCATGATTAATAAGGTAAGCTGTCGTATGCACTGCATCTGCCCAAAATGTCTTAGGTAGACCTACATGTAATCGCATGCTCCTGGCACGCTCTGTCAAGGTTCTGTTCATCCTGTCTGTAATGCCGTTCTGCTGCGGCGTCCCTGGAGTAGTCCTCTCTAAGCGACTACCATTCGGAGCACAGAACCTCTTGAACTCCTCCAGCTCGTATTCTCCACCATTTTCTAATCTCAGACATTTCACCTTCAGATCTGTCTCGTTCTCCACCATGGCCTTCTACTTCTTAAAGATTCCAAACACCTCTGACTTGTGCTTCATGAAGTAGATCCACACCTTCCTCGAGTGATCATCGATGAAGGTGACATAAAATCTCGAACCGTCAAAAGATGATACACTGGCTGGGCCCCATACATCTATATAAATCAACTCTAGCTTCTGAGCCTTAGGTGGCCTTCCACCCTTCTGGAAACTAACCCTCTTCTGCTTCCCAAAGATGCAGTTTTCACAAACCCTGACTTCTACGGAGTCGATCTCGGTTAGCTTTCCCTGTGAATGTAAGATCTTCATCTCATTCTCGCTCATGTGTCCTAGCTTGTTATGCCACAGATCTGTACTCTCTTTGCCAGCTGTAATTGTGAGGGTGCCACTCGCATATAAGGTGAGGTAGAGAGTTCCTAGTTTGTTGCCTTAAGAAACTATCATAGTACCGTTAGAGATTTTCCATGAATCCCCTATGAATGTAGAAACATAGCCTTCTGCTCTAAGCTGTCCCACAGAAACAAGATTCCTCTTCAGCTTCGGTATGTGTCTCACATTCTTTAAGGTCCACTTAGAGCCCTTCATCTGAATCTACACTTCACTATTTTCAACAATATTACAGGGCTCGTTATTCCCTAAATACACTTTTCCAAAGTCCTCTGCTACATAGTTCTGGAGAAGCTTCCTGTTAGCAGTGGCGTGGAAAGAGGTTCCTAAATCAATGACCCAAGAAACCGAGTCGTTATCCATAGCAAGGATCAAGGCATTCTGCATGATATGAGCCTTCTGCTCACCCGCATTCTTCTTTGGACTCTTGCAGACTGATGACATATGGCCCTCCTGGCCGCAGTTCCAACACTTCTCTTTGATAGGCCTAACTTTCGAGTTCGACCTCTTCTTCACTGATTTCGACTGATTTCTGTTCTGGTTTTCTTTTTTTGGCTTCTGCCCCTCTGCTCGAAACTTAGAGCTGAACCTGAACCTTTTGATTTGGACGCTTTTCTTCTAACCTCCTTGGATAAAATCATACTAATCACCTCACTCAGCTTTAACTTTTCCTTCCCCGCCAAATTGCTAATTGCCGTCACACAACCTGCCCAACTATCCGATAACTACGATAGTAGTAGAAGGGCCTGCACTTCGTCATCGAACGTGATGTCTACGGAGATAAGCTGATCACGATAGTAGTAGAAGGGCCTGCACTTCGTCATCGAACGTGATGTCTACGGAGATAAGCTGATCAACAATCATGTTGAACTCGCTGAGGTGCATCGTGAAGGACCGTCCTTCTGCCATCTTGACGTTAAAAAGAGTTATGACGAGATGCACCTTGTTTGCTACCGACGGTTGCTCGTACATCTTCGTGAGTGCTTCCATAAGCCCCATCGTCGTCTTCTCCTTTAAAATATCGTGAGCTACTGATTTAGCGAGCGATAACCAGATTTGCCCTAGAGTCTTCCTATCCAGTATCTTCCAATCACCATCTGACTCCTCCTTCTTATGTCCATTTTCCTTACCCATCAACGGGCGATACAAATCCTTCTGGTACAGATAGTCCTTCATTTGTGACTTCCAGTAGGCGAAGTCTGAACCTTCTTCAATCTTAGATTTGATTTCCTCTATCATGACTCTCTTTCTCACAAATTTTCTGAACGAAGCTCTGATACCAGTTGTTGGGGATTCGAAACAATCAAATCAAATCCGTACCCTTCCAGATCTTGTATTTGAGAGTTGAGCAAGAAAGAAATTCATCACAAATTAAAGATAAAAACTCGTAGGAAATAAGAACAAGAAAGAACACACCAGATTTAACGAGGTTTGGCAACGTGCCTACGTCCTCGGGAGCCACACCACACAATTCTTTGATTACTTGAAGAAGATTACAATGCTTGCAATTGGCCTCTCTCTCTAAGATTTCTAATTGAAGAAGATTACAATGCTTGCAATTGGCCTCTCTCTCTAAGATTTCTAATCTCAAAGAGCCCTCAAAAACCCTCTTTTTCGTGCTCTTTTTCTCTCTTAAATCCTTGAGGGACGTGTTTCTATTTATAACAAACACAATTATAAACATATTAGAATTCTAAAACAAGTCTACCATACCCTGGTGTGACAGACACCACACCCATGACAGACAGGGTAGATTCTGCCACACTAATGTATGGCAGACACCACACTCATGTCCTGTCTTGAATTTTCATGCGATTGTTGATTTTGATTCTAGATTTGGGTCTCCACTCTCAACACCAACAATATTTATGTTTATAGTAAAATATAAGTAGAATATTCTTAAAATAATAAAGGAACAAAATCTCTTTTATTAAATTATTTTTTCACCGTTTCAATCATAGTAAGAGAAACAGTATGCCCATGATTCCACCGCTCATTCATTTTTTAGAGTGTCCTCACTTGAATCAATATCATACAGTAGTATAGATAGATTTCTTATATAAACTATAACTCAGATTTATAACGTCCTAGAGTTCTCACCCCCAGCTGAACAGTGATGGGAAATACAAGTCATTGATAAAGATTGGAAAAAGACATGGAAACTGAATTTGTATATCAAATCAATCGTTCATGTCTCATCACATCGAGCTCATCCTCTTTTGATCACACAATTTTCTTTTGCCATCAATGTCTAATTTTGAAATTTTTGAAACCATTTATCTGAGGCTATAGGTAACCATCTCAATTGTTTAAGTTCTATTGTAGTTCAAAATGCTACCTAAAGGTACTTAATTAGGATACATAGTATTTAAAAATATGGTTCGTTTAAAGTCATAGGTTAGACAATCTCCATTAACAGGCAGACATAAAAGTAGACTTCATTTTCATGTGACATATTCTGAAGTTTTGGAATGGGTATCCTTAAATGACCAAATTAAAATGGATTAAGTTCTGTTAATCACTGTTTCATCCTTAATACAATACATAGCAAATATTACA